AGTTCCCATGTACGGAGTACCACTGCGTGGGAAGAATACTGAAAAATACACGCCGCGACGACATCCGGAATGACGCATCCACGCGGAGATCGTTGCTATATCCTACATTTCAAAAGAAACCGCGTCACAAACGGATAAACGGCGCCCTTCAAAACGGTACAAGAAAGACATTGCCAAAAGGCACAAATATACTTTTCTATTGTTCCTATTCCAATAAGAAGTATAAACTCGGAGCATAAGCGAGAAAACGCATATTGCCTAGTTCCGAAACCTGCCAGGCTTATCACACCAGCGACTTTTGGAAAGAACTATTTCTGCTGCTTGTATAATACTTTGCATTCTTCTGGTCAATATCATGCATAATTGATTACAGTGATGATAAGCGCATAAACGGCCCTCTGTTATACTCTTTCTTCTCCACGACAGAAGAATTTACCTTGCGCATTATCTCTCTCACTTGACTGATTCATGTCTATTTCCACATCATAAATACTATCTTAGAAACTTGAACTATTTCCTTTACCTCAACTGCATCCACTAACCCCTGTCAAGCATACTGAGTAGCAGTTTACAAGAGCACAACACTTTCGGTCAAGCTGATCCTCAGGCCAGCCTCATTACAGGAAGAGCCCGTCAAATGTCTTTAGGAGGTCAGCAGTGTAGAAAACGGTAAAAATGACAAGTTCATCTGCAAACAGGTGACCCAAATGAACGTCTTACACTGCCATTATTCCGCATATGCTAATCCGGTCCACTAAATTATGAACAGTAGAGAACATAGCACATTCCTTGCGTAGCTCTCATGCGCATACTTCATTGTATTCACTTCCTGCCGGATAACCCAGACACAAAACTGAAAACTCACAAACGAACTTAAAGAGCACCGGGTTCCGGTATCCGGTCGCCTTTCCGTGTTTAGCGACATACATGCACGATGAAGATATTCGTTAGAAACGCCTTCTTATATTTGAAACATTCGTACATCTTTCCGACAATGTCCAACTGCGAAGAACGAGCAAATTTACCGTAAGCGTTTCATAAATTTACCTTTACCGACTAGGTATCATTATTTGCATTCCATCATCATCAGCAACAACCTTTGTCGATCCACTCCTAGATGAAGGCCTCTCCAAGACCCGCCATAGTTTTATATTTTCCGCCACATTCATCCATCCTGATGCAGCGAA